AGCTAAATGATCACAACTGTCAATAGTTGGTAAAATCCGAGGGGAAAACAGTCATATAACATATACAATTAAATTAACTAATTAACTAATATTGTTATTAACGTTTTACCTTTTGACAGGTGATAGTGGCATCCAGTAGACAACCCACAAGAAGGAAAAGCAGAGATTCCTTGGAGTGGTTTCAAGTTTCAGGCTTTGTCAGGGTCTTTGAAGTCATCATTTTGGGGATTGCTGGTCATGCTCTCCAGTGTGCATCTGTTGAAGAAAAAGGAGAAAGAGCCAGAAAACTCTGAGATTGGAGCTGCCTTTATTTAAAATCGTTTTTCTGTCTAAATCCTTTTTTCAAAAGGGAGACTTCTGTTGTTGATCATTTTCTATTCCTTTGAAGAGTTAAATGTATTGAAATTTAAAATATGTAATAAGAAACATGAACGTACTATAAATAAAAATATTAGGACATGCTCCATATCCTCCTCACTTTACCGAGACATGGAGAATAAATGTGATTTTTTTAAAAAATTCTGTTTTCTTTTAGAGCAAATTGAATTTACAGAATGGATAAATTATAGGAGTGATGGTACACATTGTAGAAGGGCTATTTGATTTTCAAAGCACCATATAGACTTCATGGGAACAGCTGAATTTCTTAACATATACAAATCATAGTGCATACTGTTCAATATACAAGACATTATAGTGAAAAACTCTATTGCACAAAGCAAAATACTCCTATCTCATAAATAGAAGTAAAATTTGAGTGGCCTACTCTTAATTTTATATCTATATAACACAACATGAAATAAAAAATTAGCAATATGAAAGGAAGGAGGACTGTTGATTATCTTATACTTTTGCCATAAATGAGAGGACACTTTTCTTTAAAAAAAAATTTTTTTTAAAAGATTTTATTTATTTATTTGACAGAAAGAGAGATCACAAGTAGGCAGAGAGGCAGGCAGAGAGAGTGGAGGAAGCAGACCTCCCTCCAAGCAGAGCGCCCGATGCGGGGCTCGATTCCAGGACCCTGAAATCAGGACCCAAGCCAAAGGCAGAGGCTTTAACCCAGTGAGCCACCCAGGCACCCCGAATTATCTAGAATATAGGTAGACAAGTAGCCTATAAAATGAGTACCATCTAAGCAGCCTGAATTCACTCTGCACTATGTAGACCTTGAGAAAGGCTACTTGAAAGATGGACTTGAGTGTTGGCGTTGAGCTATGGGACATCATGTATGCACAGTGAGAAAACTCCCACTGTGTTTGAATTTTTAATAGTTTATGACCCAATGGATACTTTTGGTTGTTCAAAACTCTATCAGTTTTTCTTCTTAATACAAATACATATAATGCAAGTTTGTTTCTGTAATCCTATAGAGAGCAGTATTGAAAACTACTAAGATTAATTGTAATGAATATACATTTGTAAAATGTATATGTAATATAAAACGTAAAATGTATCAAGGACACCTATCTGGCTCAGTCAGTAGAGCATGCAACTCTTGATCTCCGTGCTGTTATGAATTCAAGCCCCATATTGGGTGTAAAGATTACTTTAAAAAGAAATTTAAAAAGTAAATTTAAATTTTAAATTTTTAAAGTAAATTTAAAAAGCAAAACGATGAAGGGCACCTGAGTCACACAGTCAGTTAAAGATCCAACTTTTGGTTTCAGCTCAGGTCCTTATCTCAGGGTCAGGAGATTGAGTCTGCTTAAGACTATCTCTCCCTTTCCCTCTGAAATACATACATACATACATACTCTTTTTTAAAAAGTAAAATTATGGGGCGCCTGGGTGGCTCAGTGGGTTAAGCCTCTGCCTTCGGCTCAGGTCATGATCTCAGGGTCCTGGGATGGAGCCCCACATCAGGCTCTCTGCTCAACAGGGAGCCTGCCTCCCCCCACTCTCTGCCTGCCTCTCTGCCTACTTGTGATCTCTCTGTCAAATAAATAAATAAAATCTTAAAAAAAAAAAAGTAAAATTATGATTAATTGAGGAAACTGGGTGTGGGATACATGCAAACTCAGTACTTTCTTCTCAATCTTTTTGTAAATCTAAAACTGTTCTTGAAGTACCTGGGTGGCTTGTTGTTACGTATCTGCCTTCAGCTCAGGTCATGATTCTAGGGTCCTGGGATCGAGCCCCATATCAGGCTCCCTGCTCAGCCGGAAGCCTGCTTCTCCCTCTCCCACTCCCCCTGCTGTGTTTGCTCTCTTGCTGTCTCTCTCTCTCTGTCAAATAAATAAAATCTTTAAAATAAATAAATAAAACTGTTCTTAAAAAATAATGTCTATTACAAAAGAAATAAGAGCAAAACTTTTTCTGTTTTATTCAATCTCGTTATAGGATTTTTTCCATTATCTGTAAGATGTTAAGTACTCAGATATAAAACAAACATTAAGATAGTCCCGTAATATTTTCCTTTTGAAACTGTCAAATTTCTTAACTTTTTGAGCCATTTCCAGAAGTTAGAACACCTCTATCTAATATTTGGTTTGCTAATACCTAACAAGAAGAGGACAATATAGATTTTAACTTCCTCTGTAAAGCAAAAACACATGGAAGATTTCTTGCTATTATCTCTAAGTTTATTTACTTAAAAACTTTAATCTTTTAGATTTAAGAGTGAGATTTATTTTATACTTTACAATTAAGTATTTTCTAAAACTAAGGACAAATAAATAGCAGATCTCTGAACTTTTTTTTTTTTACAAAGGTTACAATAAAAATGTGTGTAATCTTCCAAGTAGTAATGTGAAATTTTACCTTAACTTGAAGTAGTATTTTAAATATTCCTCAAAAACTACTCATATTTATTACCCTAAGTTTATCCATTTAGCTGTTTTAATTAAAAAAATTTTTTTTACCCCATTGAAGATGGTAATAAATATATTCTAGTTGCTGTATTCCAAAACAGTGCTTAGAAATACTGATGCTGAGCGCTATTTCTGTGATTACTTCGATGACATTTCCAGAGACTGGCATACTGATTTTTAAAACTAATATTCTGTGTACGAGGAATGGTATTCTTACTTTCTATTTGTGGAGAATTGAACAGCACCACCACTATAAGTGATGTGCTGGTATGTTACCTTATAAATGCTCAAGGTACAGCTTCTAATGTTGAAAAATAGAAAAATAAATTGACCTTGATGAAGTGTGTCTTCTTTTGTCTGTTCCCAGGAAAGTTTATTTCAGATATTTCTACTGCTGAAATGATTAGCGTTAACAGCTTTTTCCCTCCATTTTATTTTACAGGGTCTCTTCATCTTCCTGATATATGGGGTATACAACACAGAGGTAAGTCTGCTTGGAGTATCTCAAGGCTGACAGAGTGAATGAGAGAAATGACAGGTTTCTTATCTTGATAACTGAAGAACAAAGTTGGCTTTTCATATGAGTGTCCTACTGCCCTTCATGCTTGGACTAGCTTATATGCATCCCAGCTTACCATTAAACACTGACACCCTGAATAAAGGGACAGCCTCATTTCTCATAGGCATTGACTAATATTTTACTACTGCCTTAAGTTTTTGAATTTTCAGGTTTCTTTTAACACTTAACTAGACTTGACGGTATTAAAGTTTCACAGTTTTAAGTGGTAGAATGCTTATATGTAATTGCATGGAATTAGAAAAATATTCTTTCTTACCTCAAAGTGATGATTAAATATTATCTTTTAAGTTTTTAAGCAAGCTAAGAGAGTCCTGTAAGGAGTAATGGATGATATTTATGGTTTCAGTGGTGGAATTTCTCAGAGAAGTCATTTATTATTTAATTATGAGAAGTTATTTAGCTAGGAATATTATTGAGAAATTTGACTTGGAATTTCATTAAGAAAATATACTATGTAAGTAAATTATTGTCATAGTTCTAGTTCTTTTATGAAAAAATACTGTGATTTATAAATAGTCTGTTAGGCAAGTTGCTGGTTTAGATTTCTGCATGCTTAATTTGAAAGTGAGTGCTCTGTGTATATTCGGCACTGAGTAAAGACCTGTTTGGTTTTTGTTGGTCTCTGATTTCAAGATTTTACTTTGTAATTTTTCCTTCAGAAAAAATTCGTAATTTCGCATGCGTTTCTCAGCATTCTGTGCTCGGGGAGGGCAGGGTGAATCCTGGTACAATCTTAGAAGGACCTAGTAATCAGTTTTTCTTAAGTAACGTAAGGGGCTAGGCAACAATATAACATAGCAAACAGACTCATTAGCCAGACTGAAAAGGTATGTGGGCATTTAAATAACCTCTGATGATGATGAAGTATGTGTGTGGGCGTGTTTTACAGGGTTGCTGCACCTGGATTACACGCGGTTTCCTTTTCCAGTAGCCTTCAGGTAGGTTGGCAATTAGACAACTTTTTTTTTTTTTTTTTGCAACGGTACCTCTATTGCGGTTTCAAAGCAGTCTCCTCCTATAAATGCAAAAGCCCATTACTTTTTCCAAACTAAGAGGTTTAACAGAAGCAATGGTTTTAATAAATGTTGAGCACCTGAAGTTTACTGCTTTTAGGTAGAACCAAAAGTGCCCTAAGTGATCCACTTCTGGGTTTGGATTTTGATTCCATACCTGGACTGCAAACTGTAAAGCACAGAAAGCCCCCACATTCAGTCCTCAGTTTCCCCCACCTCTTCTACCAGGCTCTTTCTCTGCAGCCCCCAAGCCACGCTGCATTACGGTCCCGCGTAATCCCGCCCCTTGGGTTCCACCTCCTGAGCGTCCTCCCCCAGAAGCCCTCATCCACGTCCATCTCCGTCAGTGCAGCCCACCAATCACGCCTGCTCGCCTGGAAGCCTCTTTCTGCAGGGGATCCAAATCCCCACCCCTCGAGCTCCGGGCCTCCCCTCCGCCCAACCGCCCCAGTGATTGACAGGCAGGCCGGGCGGAAGCTGTGGCGCAGGCGCCCTGGCTCCACAGAGCTCCCCTCTGGCTGGGTTGAGGAGTTCCCAGCAGACACCGCGCCGCGGCTGCGCAGTACAAGGGAGGCTTTTAATTCCATTGTGGAGAGGACGGCGTTATTTTTATTAACTGGAGGCGACGGCGGCTGCGGCGGCGGCGGTACCCGTAAGTGTTGCCGGTGGGCCGGAGAGGGAGAGAGCGAGGCCTAGGGAAGAGTCACAGGACCTTGCGTACCGGTGCCGGAGGCAACAGGGCTGGGAATTAGTGCTGGGCGCGTTGCGGTCTGGGCGGCGGCGCGGCGGGGTCCTGGGCGCTGCGGTGGTCCCGGCCCGGGGCCCGGTTCCACCCCCTTTCCTCCCTCTTCCCTCTTCCTCCTCCTCTCCTCAGCCAGGCCTCCTCCGGGGTATGAAAATCGGCAGTGGGTTCCTGAGTGGCGGCGGTGGTACCGGCAGTAGCGGTGGTAGCGGCTCCGGCGGCGGTGGTAGTAGCGGCGGCGGCAGCGGCAGCAGCAGCAGGAGGGCAGAGATGGAACCCACCTTTCCCCAGGGTATGGTTATGTTCAACCACCGGCTTCCCCCGGTCACCAGCTTCACCCGGCCGGCGGGGTCGGCCGCCCCTCCCCCGCAGTGCGTGTTATCCTCCTCTACCTCCGCAGCCCCGGCCGCTGAGCCCCCCCCTCCGCCAGCCCCGGACATGACTTTCAAGAAGGAGCCGGCGGCGTCAGCCGCGGCCTTCCCCTCGCAGAGGACCTCCTGGGGATTCTTGCAGTCTTTGGTCAGCATCAAACAGGAGAAACCCGCAGATCCTGAGGAGCAGCAGTCCCACCACCACCATCACCACCACCACTATGGGGGGCTGTTCGCTGGGGCTGAAGAGAGATCTCCAGGCCTAGGAGGTGGGGATGGGGGGAGCCACGGCGTCATCCAGGACCTCAGTATTCTCCACCAGCATGCCCAGCAGCAACCAGCCCAGCACCACCGCGACGTATTGCTCAGCAGCAGTAGCAGGACTGATGACCACCATGGCAATGAGGAGCCAAAGCAGGACACTAATGTCAAAAAGGCAAAGAGGCCAAAGCCAGAATCTCAGGGAATCAAAGCCAAGAGGAAGCCAAGTGCATCTTCCAAACCTTCTTTGGTTGGAGATGGAGAAGGTGCCATCCTCTCCCCAAGTCAGAAACCTCATATCTGTGATCACTGTAGTGCTGCTTTCAGAAGCTCCTATCATTTGCGGAGACATGTCCTCATTCATACTGGAGAAAGACCTTTCCAGTGCAGCCAGTGTAGTATGGGTTTCATTCAGAAATACCTACTGCAGAGACATGAGAAAATTCATAGTAGAGAGAAGCCATTTGGATGTGATCAGTGCAGCATGAAGTTTATTCAGAAGTATCATATGGAGAGACACAAGAGGACACATAGTGGAGAAAAGCCATATAAATGTGACACTTGCCAACAGTATTTTTCAAGGACTGATAGACTGTTGAAGCACAGGCGCACATGTGGTGAAGCCATAGCTAAAGGAGCCGCTAGTGCAGAACCTGGGTCATCAACCCATAACAGTATGGGTAATCTGGCTGTGTTGTCTCAGGGAAATACAAGTTCTTCAAGGAGAAAAACGAAGTCAAAAAGCATAGCTGTTGAAAATAAGGAACATAAGACTGGTAAAACAAATGAATCACAAATTTCTAATAATATAAACATGCAGAGTTACTCAGTAGAAATGCCTACTGTGTCTTCCAGTGGAGGCATAATTGGCACTGGTATTGATGAACTACAGAAAAGGGTGCCAAAATTGATCTTTAAAAAAGGAAGCAGAAAGAATACAGATAAAAACTACCTTAATTTTGTGTCACCATTACCAGACATAGTTGGACAGAAGTCCTTGTCTGGGAAACCAAGTGGCTCACTTGGCATAGTATCGAATAATAGTGTGGAGACCATTAGTCTTCTCCAAAGTACGAGTGGCAAACAAGGTCAAATAAGTAGTAATTATGATGATGCCATGCAGTTTTCAAAGAAAAGAAGATATTTACCAACTGCCAGCAGCAACAGTGCCTTTTCTATAAACGTGGGACACATGGTCTCCCAACAGTCCGTCATTCAGTCTGCAGGTGTCAGTGTTTTGGACAATGAGACCCCATTGTCCCTTATTGACTCCTCAGCTCTTAATGCTGAAATTAAGTCTTGTCATGACAAGTCTGGAATTCCTGATGAGGTTTTACAAAGTATTTTGGATCAATACTCCAACAAATCAGAAAGCCAGAAAGAGGATCCTTTCAATATAACGGAACCACGAGTGGATTTACACACCTCAGGAGAACACTCAGAATTGGTTCAAGAAGAAAATTTGAGCCCAGGCACCCAAACACCTTCGAATGATAAGGCAAGCATGTTGCAAGAATACTCCAAATACCTCCAACAGGCTTTTGAAAAATCCACTAATGCAGGTTTTACTCTTGGACACGGTTTCCAGTTTGTCAGTTTGTCTTCACCTCTCCACAACCACACTTTATTTCCAGAAAAACAGATATACACTACATCTCCTTTGGAGTGTGGTTTCGGCCAATCTGTTACCTCAGTGTTGCCATCTTCATTGCCAAAGCCTCCTTTTGGGATGTTGTTTGGATCTCAACCAGGTCTTTATTTATCTGCTTTGGATGCTACACATCAGCAGTTGACACCTTCCCAGGAGCTGGATGATCTGATAGATTCTCAGAAGAATTTAGAGACTTCATCAGCCTTCCAGTCCTCATCTCAGAAATTGACTAGCCAGAAGGAACAACAGAAAAATTTAGAGTCCTCAACAAGCTTTCAGATTCCATCTCAGGAGTTAGCTAGCCAGATAGATCCTCAGAAAGACATAGAGCCTAGAACAACGTACCAGATTGAGAACTTTGCACAAGCGTTTGGTTCTCAGTTTAAGTCGGGCAGCAGGGTGCCAATGACCTTCATCACTAACTCTAATGGAGAAGTGGACCATAGAGTAAGGACTTCAGTGTCAGATTTCTCAGGGTATACAAATATGATGTCTGATGTAAGTGAGCCATGTAGTACAAGAGTAAAGACACCCACCAGCCAAAGTTACAGGTAAGGTCCCAAAAGTGACCAGGCTGGAGGTCTAATGTAATTTTGTTTTATTTTGAGAACACTGCCATTGGAATGTTTCTACACGATCCTATTAAGAATAATGTAATGCCCTTTCAATGCAACTTTTCATATTTAGTTTATTTTGTTAGCGTGATTTTAGCTCTGTTTGTATTATGATTTTTAATCAAAATCAATAGATTAAAAATAGTTTGACATTCAAAGTGACAATGTTTAGCAATCAAATTTACATGTATAGATCGTCAGGGAATAGCCCAAAAGTTTTAAATGCAAAAAAAAAACAAAAAAAAAACAAACAAAAAAAAAAAAAAAAAAAAAACAAAAAAAACCCCAAAAAACAAAAAAACCCTACAAAAAAAAAACAAAACAAAACAAAAAATACACAAAAAAAACTTTGTTGCTAGGATTAAGGTTATTCTAATTGCTTTACTCTCAGGAAAGTGTAATAACGCATGGGAATTCTGTACGTTATCACTGTAATGGAATATCCAATTTACAGATAGTATGATATACATTTCATCATTTAAGTAAGGGATCGAAAACATTTCAAATTGCTCTATCTGGGCTGATAAACATTTCATCATTTTTAAGTAAGGGATCGAAAACATTTCAAATTGCTGTCTCCATCTAGGCTGATCCAAAATTCTGAGATGTTGGCTACCTATATTTTGTTGCAGCTTTTAAATGTACTCTGAACTTCCAAACCGTTCATTCCAGCCTGGTAGAACAAATATTCTTGGATCTTTGATCAAAGCCTGGAATGATAGCTTTAATAAAAGAAGAAAAAAAAAATAGCACCCTCTCCTTATCCCAACTGTAACAAGGCTGTAGTTCCATTAGAAGTTAATGATATCTGGCAGTGTTGATGACTGAGTGGTTCGTTGGTACCAGTATTAGAACCCAAGTTGGAATTACATAATTCTTTGAAATTTGGGGTATGCGTTATTTATTATACATGGCTTAAAACATTGTTCTCTTGTCTGTGTTATTACATGTCACCCACACTTCTGTTTTTTTGTTCTTGTTCTTGACCTACCCTCTTTCTTAGAGTTCTGAGCCTGCCTTGTTTCCTCTTCTATCTGGACAGTTTCAATTTTAGAATGATTTACATTCCATTAGGTAATTCATTAGGCATTTTATATGCCTTATGGCATTCAAATACTAAACAATGGGATAAATAACCCCCACGTACCTTTTTAAAAAAATAAAACACATACAGATTTCCATGTATAATAAAGCCCCACATACTCTGAGCTATAGATATTACTAAGGTTGTAATTCCAACCAGTGATGTTTTTTTTCTAATGTGAGGGGTAAGAGTGTCTGCATTTAGTAATGACATCAGAACCTCTTTGTGTAATTGCAGCCTTTAATGTACATTTTAAAAGGGTGCATTAGTCAGTATTGTACAGGGGTCTTGTAAAGTCATCAAAACTTGCTATGAACGCTAATTGCCATTTGAAGCTACTGATAAGACAGTAGCTCTGCTCTAAACCACTTTTTAGCAATTGTATTTTTTTCCTGATTATATTTTTTAATGTACTTTGATGTTTATGCTGATGAGTTTTTTATGTACTTTCGGTGATGTTTCAGTCTTATGTACTCTTCTGACGTCAGAAAAGTACCACTGGTTGTTTGCAGTCTTATTGTGTAATCAGCCTACCACAGGCTTCCATGTATAATAAAGTAATTAATATTGTGCAAGTGTAAAACACTTCTGTTATGAAAGCAGTGTTTGGAAAATAAGAAATTATTAAAAATGGTTACAAAATATTAGTTAATTTCCTTTCCCCACTTTCCTCCCTTAAGTCTGCTTACCAGCTAAAGGTCACTGATTTGTCATTGCAAGATTCTTAGAAAATGTGTTTAATCCTTTTAAATACACTCAATACTAAAAAGTCTGTATTTCTTATTTTGGTAAGTGCGGTAAGTTCTATTGGGTACAGAGTACAAGCTGTAATCAAAGGATGGAGAGGACCTTTACCACTGTATCTCTTAAGCTGTATGATTTTTCTCCAGTGTTTGTTTTATACAGGTTTTGAATTTCTTTAACTTTTATTGTGTGTACTGAATACTGCATATGTATTATTCTGATTGTTTGCTCTAGTTTACTACCAATAAAAGACCTGTTAATCACAAAATTGAAGAAAGGAGATATCACTTAATATCCAGTAACATTTTTCAGGGTTTTTTTTTTTTTTTTTTTTAGTGACGACATTTTCTAAAATAATTCACATCAGTGTTACAAAACTGCATTTTAGGGACTTGTATTTTTATTGTGGGGTGTTTTTCTTTTTTTTGAGCTCAAGTATTTTCATATTTCTAGGTTTATTTTACGTGAAAACTGGGTGACTATTTTCTGTGTTTGAGGTGTACTATATATATATGGAAGTGTAGAAATTGAATATTATGTAAATCAGAACATGTTTTGTTGAAATGGGTTTACCTATCCTAAATATTATACCAGAGAGAATATTTATTGAGACCTCATTTAAAATCAGATTCCAGTATCTTTTGGTTCTAGATGAATCCTTTTTGTCTCAAGAAGGTTGTAATAAGATAACAGTATGACACAAAAAAACGGCCTTGAGCATTTCTAGTAGGAATTAAAAAGTATTAGTCATAGTTTAACCATTTTTTAAAAGGTTGAAAGTATAGATAGCGGAAGGAGAAAAGTAAGACATATAAATATTAGAGATGCAGAAGAGATGTTTGGAAGTGTCTTTTAATTATAAGTGGCTATGTAAAATCAGAAAATTGTGCTTTAAAATTCAGTGGCTATAAATGAATTCAGGAGTAAAAATATTAATGGGTGGAATAGGTCTTTGAAACTGCTTTTTTTTGGCATATGATACTATTGTAGGGAAATGGTAAATTATATTAAGCATAAACATGGATTTTTCTGTAGAGAAATATCTACTTTTGGGCCCACATGATTATGAAAAGTAAATTCCTTTTTTGCCAAGGTCATTTCCTAGATTTGGACATTTTCTTGAACAAGACTGCCAAGCAGAATCTCACTGAGTCTGCTTTCAAGTCCAACTCTTGATTTCTCTGCACAGATGACTTCTTCATTCTAGGTTAACGCTAACTTTTTTTTTTTTTTTTAACCCACCTATCTCCCCCCTTAGTTTCTATCCGTGGAATGTCCTTATCTGAATATGATCTTTTTAAAATTAAGATTTTTACTTTTAAGATATTTGGGCATGAAATAGGAAACTGTTGTGTTGTACATTCAGGATGAGGACTGCCATAATTTAGTAGTTGCTAGTCCATGATTTGTGTGGTAATTCAATAATGAAAGCAGAAATACGTGGAAGAAAATCTGTACTTTAAATTTTTTTTTTTTTTTAGTAGGCTCTACACGTAACTTGGGGCTTGAACTCAATCCCTAGGTCAAGTAGTGAGCCAAGCACCCCTGTGCCTAAAATTTTTAATATTTTAAAATTGTGAACAATGATACAAATGTTGGTACCTCACATTTAGTTTTATGTATTGCACTAATCAAGTAAGAAGGGCAAAACTTTGTTCCTTCCTGCTATGTGGCATTTTGTAGTTTACTTGTAAGTAGAAGCATTTAAGCCTGAACTGGGTGACCGTTTGAGCAATATGACCTCATGAGGGCATATACAATCCTTAATTTCCAGATTCATATGTCTTGTTAAACTGAAGAACTTGCGTTAGAAAAAAAACAAGGTTCTGAACTTGAGAGAGATATTTTTAGAGTAAACTACATCTGAATATTATCATTTTTTGAGTTTTGTGGTATTCATGTTTTTCTAATCCACAATGACTAGATTTTGATTTTTAAAATGTGATGCAAGATTGTTAGTGCTATGTGATCCATGCATCATGTTGTGTGAGGCTGTCAGTCGCACTCTATGGATATTCTTGTTATGGGATCCCTTACCACAGAAGAGGATCTGTGGTGGTTTGCTAATCTTCTTGTAGTTCCTTATGGGTTTTGAGGGAAAAAATTGTGTTATTTGCACTTGTTACGTTATTTACATTCTTAATAATTGATTACTTGAACGTTAGCATGAAAACACCGGGAATTCTCTTGTCTTACCTTTGATCAAAAACCTCTTAAGATAAATCCTCTGAGATTACAGTGAGTTTAAAAAGAGATTAAGCTATAAAGAGGACATACACTTTTTAAATTATTTCCTTCTGTGTACCTGTTCTGCTTTTTTAAAAAAAAGTATTGACTGCATGTGAATGACTTACTTGAGTAGATCTATTTAAATTTTCGATGAGCCTTGGGCTCACTCTGGCGAAGAACCATATAACATTTTTAGGGTTACAGACTCCTTGGGGAGCAGATGACAGAATTGATATCATCCCACCCCCATTCACTAGAAATATATTTGCATGTGAAAATTTACGAGCTTACCTGTACGCTCACAAGGACCACCCCCCTCCCAAAAGAAACCTCCCAATTAAAAATTCTTAACCTGTGGACCTTAGGTTAAGAATCCCTGCCTTGGGGCCCCTGGCCAGCTCTGCGGGAATAGCGTGCAATTCTTGATCTCAGGATCATGAGTTTGAGCCCCATATTGGGTGTGCAGAGATTACTAAAAAAAAAATAAACTTAAAAAAAAAAAATCCCTGCCTTAGAATACTGCCTAAATACTGAAATTTTATTTTACAAATAGTGGATACCTAAACTAAAAAAGCATCAGATATTAAGAGTACTTAAAAGTTTCTTTATATGCAGTTTAGTTACTTAGCATTTATAGAACACATTTAGGTTACATAAGGCCATAAAGTTTTATGGTAAGCTACTCAAATCATGAGTTGAGTCTAATTATGTGCAGTTTCTCATCTGATAATAAGTGCCATAGAGATGCTAGACTTGACAATAGTTCAGTATTTTCCATCAACAAAGACATGTGTTAACAGTGTATCATAACTACAGTCAACCACTGTACTGCTTCAGCTGCACAGGAGTGCTTTCCTGCATAAGCATGAATATTGGCAAAAATGAAAGCCCACAACCAAACAATACCTTTTTGCCTAGAAAGAATAATAATTGAGTTCTGATAACATGAAAACTCTGCTTCATATAGCCTGAGTGTGACTTGCTAGGTTGAAATACACTGTGCAAGATAAGCCTTAAAAAGTATGTCGTTACATGTTGAGATAGGTATCTCTTGGGAAATGTAGATAAACAGCTGGAGAAAAATGTAATGATTTGGATCTTACACTCCACGGGGAAAATTTTGTTTCCTGTGTTTGTAGGGAGTAAAAGAATAATGGGCAGACGTTGTGTGTTAAGGGAGGTAAG